CAGTTTGCTATGGCTTTGCATTGTGCCAAACTCTCTGCAAAACACAATAAATTCAAAGAAACTAATTAGAAAGATGAGCCAACGAAGAAATGAAAAGGAGAAAGATGAATAGCCAGCTAAAACCATGCATATGCTATTTTCAGGTCCAATATATGCCGTGTATCAAGACTTGTTATGCTCCTGTGCACAAATACGCAATTCTGCTTGGTTTTTTTGGGTGATTACTGTTAAGAGGATTCAGGGGGTGAAGCCTCAAATTTCATGGGCTACACCGTCACTATTCTTATGCAGTAGAGAGCTGAAAATTAGCAGAAAACAGGCAGTCCCTCGGGCACAGTGAGCTGCCACAACCACAATCCAACTCATCAGTGGATTCTGATGCTCAAGACATTAGAAACCCAATAACACACAGAAAACAGAAACTTGTTTTGACTGGGGCCTCCCTGCAGCCAAAACTTCTTCAGAGGACTCATAAAGTCATACATCTTCAGAACAGTAGACTTGAGAGTGAAAAGGACATTGTCGCGTACTCTCTAGCGACAACAATGTCCGATAGAAATGACACACGCCCATTACGCTAAAACAGTTATGCGTGCTGTATTCCGTTGTTTCGCCAGGCACATTGCACACCAAACACTCTGCTTTCTGCTAAAAAAGCATAGTACGCCCTGACATGGCATCCATCTAGTACATATCATGAACTTGACTGAATCTAACCCTGCCAATGGTAAAAGAAAAATGCATGGAGCGCGCCGTTTCCACAGGCAGAAGTGGTAAGCAAGAGACAAATGCTTAATAACAGATTAAATGAACAAAAGAAGAATGGATCTATCTACGGTTTACACTAGCTAGATTGGAAAAGGAGGGGTAGCAGGCCTTGCGGAGAGAGCGGGCGGTGGAGATCGGCCACGGCGATGCGTCTGCTGGCTGACGCCGACGGCTTCCCGGCGGCAGGCGGCGGCGGCGGCTCGCCTTCGCTTCCGCTCCTGGGAAACCTCCGCCCGCACCGGTCTGCTATGGTCTCTGGTGGTGGCGGCTGGCTCAGTAGCTCACAGTTCACTTCACCCGCTTACTTAAGTTGGGCCATCGGGCTAGGCATGGTGGTGGGCTAAATTTTTACGAAGTCAGCCCAGCGAGAAACGGTGAACGTGGTGCTTCAGCTTGAGCCATCGGCTCATCGTCTTTCTTTTCTTCCTCTTCCTATTGAAATTCAGTGGAACGCAGAGCAGGACTAACATCCTTCTGAGTGGGAACTGCGGAAGGTGAGACCGGGGCTGTTTCCATTTGAGGAGCACTCTGCTCCCCCTCAATCTGTTCTTCCTCTCCGCAATAGACTTGGAGGGCACGACGGGCTCGTTCCTCAGCGGAGACGGAACAGCCTTCTCAACTTTGATTTCTTTCATCAACTTCTTATTGGGGAGCCTGTTGCTTCGTTTGTGCATTTCCTTCGACTTCTATTTTTTGAGGGAGTGCCATTCCTTCAACTGGTACATCTAGAAAGACTTCAAAGTTTTCAAGTCTCGCTTCACGGGCCCCTGGCCAGGGTATAATAACACCACGAGTGGGCTGAGAGCGTGTCACTTAGTGTGATCTTAGCCACCGCCATGTGTCACGCTCTGGACGCTCCCTTCATTTTTTCACACGTTTTCAGCTTTTTATATAGTCTTTTCGCGGGTTTTTTAGTTTTTCACCGGTCTTTTTTAGTTTTT